ATCATTAAAGTAGACAGAATGATGAAGTTTAATGAGTATCTTTCTCACTTGATATTGTTAGTTTTGCTGCAGCAGCCATAGTGCTCTCATTTGTTACTTCCAGTGGGGCAGATAGAGAGTGCAGGGAGATTTTGTTTATGTTTATATTTGCATACAAAGAAACATTTATGTTCATGAGAGGTATTTGCTTTGGAAAATATATACAAGGAAAGAAAGCAACTGGAAATCTCTATTTGAGGGCTTTCTGCATTTTCAGTCTTGCATTTAATCTTTCCTTTCCCTTTAACATGATGAGGAGGCTGCATGCAATACTGTAGCTGCTCAGTCTACAAAGGTTCAGCAATTGGTGAACTGTGGTTATAATAACCAAGTATTTTTTGCACTCCAGATTTTATTCTTCAGCTGAGGTTTTGGTCTGTGAACTGTGTGTAATGCCCTACTCAGAGCTATACCAGCCCCAGGAAAAAGTGATGTTCTAAAATGTTCTAAAGTGTGAAGGTTCTGCCATGAATACATTATCAGCACTTATCTCACAAATCTGCCTTGAAACAGTAGCCAGAATCTGCCTCAATATTCCATTATTTATTTATGCAGACCATCTGCCTTCGCTAAGGGTCTAGTCCTACAAACAGATATGTCAAGGTGCTGTCTCCTAGTACATTACCATCCATCAGCTGAGCTGCAGAACTGTCTGTGTGCATGTGTTAAGCTGACCTCCACTGCTGAGGACAGTGTGTGAGGTCTCTGCCTAACATGTTTGACTTCGCAGTGATGCCAGAGCAGAAGCATCTACACTTTACTACAGCTTGGTTGACAGAGATGAGCAAGCTGTGGTTTCTGTAGCTGTATCCTTTCAGTGGGTATTGAAATCATTAAGGACTGTATATGTAAACTCCACATCTGTTACACCCAAGGGTTTGTAGATTCTCATGTAATTCAGATAGTTGCTTCTCTGTGTGGATCAGCTCCATTATACTCCTTTTTTTTCCTGGGTTTTTTTCTCCTTAGGACCTATGGAAGTGGTGTCTGTTGTTGGACCTCAAGTTCATTGAAAATTGTGAATTCTCTTTTCCCTAGTGTAACAGAAGGCAAATTCTGTCCCAGAGGCATTATCACAGTCATTATTGTATTTAAATGTTGTTGTGACACCATATGTCTCCTCATATTTGATGTGTGCAAACACAAAGAGAGTCCCTGCCTGTGAAAGCTTGTATAATCTAAATATGTCTGATCCTTGCTCTTTGCATAGCAGACTACTGTGATGGATTGTAAAGCATTTATCTTCAGTTGAGATAGCAATGTGCAGCTGAAACTTCCTTGAAATTTTGCCAGAGAAACTTAAGTAGTTATATTTGATTTGCTTATTTGAAACCAAATACTTACTTTCCTGGATGAACCTTTGGTGCACATGCTAATAGAATTGGTTGAACATGAGAATAAGTGAAAAGAATGTGAAAGTGCTGCAGATGTCTGCAACTCATGTACATCTGCTACTTCTAACATAGTATTTTCATGGGAATTGCTTTAGCACCAGTGGCACTGAATATCATAAGGAGCAAATATCAGAGAAAAACTGCTGCCAAAAATACTTATAGGTCAATTGTGATTTTTTTTCTGTTCAATGCATGGAGTGGCCACTGCACCTCATTTTGCAGGCAAAAGACATTGCCCAAGTAGACTTCACCAGAACTGTGAGGTTCATTCAAAATCATCAGCGTTCAGTTTCTGTGCTTCAAAAGCATCTGTGAAGAATTCCCACCGTACCTTTCTACTTCACAAAAATGTTACTAATCTGAGCTCTGCTGGATCCACAAACTTTAATACTTGCACTGAGAACACAGGAGATGAGAGGCAGAATGAATGACAAAAGTGTCATCTGAGCTGGAAAGTCATATAAGGGTTCCAGTGGAGCCTAAAGTGGAGCCTAAACCAACCTGAGAAAAAAAAAAAAAAAAGGTGTGTAACACCTGATAAACACTAAAGCTGTTATAGTCATCTCTGGGGTGGCACTAAGAGGACAAAGGAGCTGTGGGGCAGCAGGAGGTGGAAGACAGGACAGGGACAGGGGACTTCTGCTGCCAGTTACAAGGCATTTTTGTGCTCAGATACAGTGGATCAATCAATTCAGTGCTTAAAGTCCCAAATGGGGACTTCCTTAGTATAGGAAAAAATATTCTCATGTTCTATTTATGTTATTTGTCTAGAGCCAAAAACCAACTTGAATTTTAATTTACTATTTACTAACTATTGGTGTTAACAGATTTGAGCATGCATTTCCACTTCACTGTTGCTAACTTCTTAGAGTTACAGAATTATTGCTGACAGTGGCTCAAGTGCTGTTCTGTGTCTTGTTGAGAACAAAACGCTGCTGGTTCTCTTTTTTCTAACCTCGATCAGTTTCTGATGGGACAGCCTCCTTGAGTGACACTGCTCTACCACAGTGATAGTATTTCCTGATACCAAAACACCTCCTTCTGTGTCTTCCCCCTCTCAACTCTCTTAATGCCTTTCAAAACAGGACAGTTATTTAGGATGGATATTTTATTAGTACACATATTTGGTACTTGGATAAAATATAGCCTTGTGCTGTTGGTGCTGTATCTCTTATGGAAAAAAAAAAGTGTATTGTAGCTAATAGTAAGCATGCCATTATCACAGAGGGTCAGGGCTCTCTGTGTTAATCAGGAACTGCCATCTGATCCCTTTTTGGCAGCAGCTGATGGCATACATAAAATTTCAGTAAGGTGAAGTAATGTCATAGTTTACAGTTGTATTTTCCTTGAGCGAGGCTGTTTTGGGTACAATGCACCTTGACAGCAGCCTGTTTAGCAGCATGATATAAAACTGTAACTGCTGAGGAGGTGAAAGCAAGCACTGCCTCTCCACCCCACCCTGTGAGAAGACCTAATCCCATTCTGTAGTCCAGAAACCCCAGGATTGAGGTATCTTCCATATACAGCAAAATAAAGCTTAGAGCAGGTAATAGCTTTTAACCTCCTGACTAGCATAGCATAACATAGACTGTTGCAGCTGGAAGGGACCTACAACCATCATCTAGTCCAACTGCCTGATCAATTCAGGGCTGAACAAGTTGAAGTATGTTGTTAGGTACATTGTCCAAATGCATTGTCATGCTTGGGGCATCGGCCACCTCTGTAGGAACTCTATTCCAGTGTTTGACCCTCCTCTCAGTAAAGAAGCACTTCCTAGTGTAAACCTTCCCTGGCACAGCTTTGAACCATTCCCGCACTTCTTACCCCTGGATGCCAGGAACAACGAGCACCTCCCTCCCCTCCTCGGGAAGCTGTACAGACCAATGTATGTCTCATCTAAAATCTCTCTGTATCTGACATCAGTAGCCCCTGTGTGGCCATGCCTTACAGCATAGTAAGTCAAGAGTATTTATATGTCTTTAGCATTGTTCAAAGTCTCTTGCATACAGTTGACTGCATAGTCCACCAGGCCTTGTAGAAAAGGTCCTGTCTTCTTCTGAAAATTAGTTTCAGCCTGCAAAGCAAAAGAGAGTACTGTAAATAGTCACTTTATCTCTGAGATACCTGCTCCGGGTGATACCCACTGCAGAACTGAATACCAGGTCATGCTTTCTGGATAAGTAACTACATATCATGACTAAATAAATCTATCCAGACATGACTAAGCAAAAGTAGCAGGAGGATCTGTACCTTCCTTGTTTGCAGCAAGGTCTGAACAGACCTGCAGCTAAATACACGGACTGCTGCAGGGGAGAGTACATGTGAGGGTGTGTGTGATGGACCAGCACAGCTCACCTGCAACAGCTGGGAACCTGCTTCATGTCCCAGACATGAAAATGCAGGACCTGGGTTCTGTGGTGACAGTGCTGGCAGCTGCTTATCCAGATTTTGACACATCAAAACGTAGTTCTACGAAGACTCAGCGTTTCTCAGTCCTGAGCCCCTGGATCTGTCCTGTTTCTTAAAAAAAAACTTCCACCAAAGGTGGAGGTGCAGTAACACAAGGAAAGTTGTTTTGAGAACTGGTGGTTTTATATTCTTCAGCAGCAGAATTCCTATCCAGTGGTAGAATTTAGTGTCTGGACTGGCAACAGCCCAGCAAGGGATTAGGGCAGGCACTTAGAGCATTGGGCTGAAGTATGAGCAGGGGGACACTTTTCAGAGGGATTTCAGTATTGGGGTTTTGCCAGTGTTTATGCAGCTGAATGAGCAGAAACGAAGCTTGTCCCTGTTCCCTTCTAGGTACACTGACATCCCCGCAAATCTTCAAAAAGCACTTTATGTCAGTGGTGGAAGTTCAGTTTGAACTGTGTTTATTTTGGGTAGGGCTTTAATTTAATTTAATCAGGATTACTCATAAATTATCTATTAATTACTGTGTGATATATAGCAAGATCCTCTGAGCCACATAGTCTACTTAGCTTCACTGTGAATGCTAGCTATCTTAATTGTAGGATACTTTGTCAACATTTAATCAGTGGTACTTACTAATGTGGCATTGATGTGTTGGTAGCTGTCCCAGTACTATCAATCATATGGAAGCAGCAAAGGCAGCTGTGACACCATTGCTCTCTGTCACATTATCAAGCCCTTGGGTTTTCTGGTTAGGGATGATGCTCACTTTGTTCTAAGTGGGCACTCTATCTCTCCAGTTCAACCCAATTTTTGTCATTGTCGACTTGAATACACATCCTTGCAGCCTTCCAAGCCTTAATCCCATAACTGCAAAATAAAGGTTGCTGGTTTCTGAAGGCAAAAACGATTGCTCCTTCACTGTTCCAAAGGCCTGCATTTCCTGATGTTACACTCCTGGTAAGTCATGAAAAATCTAATGTTATGGACTGCAGCATGAGATCTAATAGAAAATTCAGTGTGTTCAAACAAAACAAATATAACGTCCTTCCTTTTTTATTTCTAGTAACTAGATGCATGGTTTAACATGCTGCAGAATAACAGCCTGTGCTTAATGGCTGTATCACAAATGCTCTTTGTCTCATTTCCTTACAGTCTGTATGGCAGACATATGCAGGCGAATCCTGAACCTCCAAAGAAGAACAATGACAAGTCAAAGAAGATCAGCCGGAAGCCTCTGGCAGCCAAGAACAAATAAGTCTGTGGCTTCTGCCTCTGTTTTTATTAATTTTTTTTCGTTGCTTTTGCATGTGCCTATAATATTCCTACGCATCTCCTGTTACTCAAAAGAAAGCAGACACTGGAGGTAAAAGCAATTTACTATGTATACTGCTTTAGAAGAGACTGATTAAGGAATACAAAATTATACATTCTCCTAATTAGGGTCACACTTATGTAGCCATTTAATATATCACTGTCAAATACATTTTGGCTTTTCTATTTTTATGTATATTAATGTCCTCTACTCACATGTATCACATCCTGTTAATATCAGCGGGTTTACACCTATATTATACAATATTAAATTTCATACAATATTCCAAGTTATTTTAATAAAGGTCTTTATTTGTATTGTGTTTCAGTTTATTAATTAGGGCTTCTGAATTGTGGATTCCTTGAGGAGCATATGTGTCCAGTTTCCTGCAATGTGTAAATTTCTTACATAGGAATAAGCATTTTATCAGATACAGATGAGTTAAAATGTAAAGCTTTCTATTCAAGGAGTGAACATTTTCAATCAGTTTCTATTTCTTTTTTACATTGCTGTGTCCTTTTTTTTTTTGCCTGGAAGGTTATTTTGAAAACAAGGAGTAGGGGAAGGGAGAAGGGAAAGGGAAAAAAAATATGTTTTTGAAAGTGCTGCCAATTGCCAGCCTCAGTCTGGGGAAAGAAAACTTTCTCATTTGAAGAAAATGGTATTTCTTCCAATTTTTTAAGTGTTTTTTTTTTAATTTTTTTTAGGCAGAAAACCCAAATAATGTATTTAATATCTGATGAAAGTACTTCTATTGAAGAACAGTTCCAGCTGGCTTTTGAAAATGCCACAGGTTCTATATTTATCTATACGAAGCCAGCACCACAACCAAGCTTTAGAAGCTACAAATTGTTTAATATCTCAAACAGCTTCAGGTCTTACCAATGGGGAAGAAAAACCTCAAATCTACTGGCAGTGACTTCCAAACAATTTTAGTCTTAGCAGAGAGAAAGCTAACCAGGAAACTCAAAGAGCAAAAACAAATATTTACACCTAGGTTGCTTGCGTAAGGACCTTCCTGCACTTGATTTCAAATTCCATTAATTTCATCCCTGAGCAACCCCTTGGTGGGTTTCAGCTGCCATCTGGACAGCAAGCCAGGAAGCAAGCCCAGGATGCCAAAACAGGCCTGGTGTGTTCAATGAGAAAAGAAAAGGTTTCAAATTTCTCACACTAGAAATGATACTTTCTACAAATGCTGTTTTGGATCTGAAGACTCTGTAATCAGCACCAGTCTTTCGATCACATTTAGGATTACTACATGGTTGCCTTAGTCTGGGAGCAAATGTATTGACATATATTTTGCAACAGATTTTTTTGAATTGGCAAGCAGGGCTAGGAAGTTGGCATCGAGCTTTAGACGCATTCTGAGTGGTCTTTGGTACTTCAGAAGAATGAGGCAGTCTTGGTAGACAGATGGAAAACAGTAAAAATGGAAGACTTGTCAGGAACAGTCAATTCTATCTGTTGCAAGCTCTGCAGAGGATTTTCCAGACCTCTTAAGTGATCTGTCTAGGGGAACAGATCCAACTGAAACAGGCCCATGGAGGCACTAGGTTCGGTGCATGTCAAGAATTCACAGCAAAAAAACTGCAACTCCCCCC